GATTATGGAGAATAAGGTGAAACAAATTAAAGGTAAATTCTTAATGGTGGAAATTTGAAGAGTTGGGTGTCCTAAATAATATACTAAAAGTTCCATCCAATCTGACAATGGCAAGTTTTGAAAAATCGCGACCATTATGAATTTTTGAAGTTTTCGGATTTTCATTCAAAATATTTAAAAACTTTGAAGTCAGGTACATTTTTTCAGTGTATTTCTTTTGATTTTTTGAAATATTCTTTATACTTTGTATTCAGTTCACAAAGTTTAAAACTTGATTTGCAAGTATGTTATCTAAAATATCCTTAGAGCAGGTAATTTCCTAGGTGGGAGGAGTAGGAACATGGAGTTGGAAAATGAAGCAGTTTTTTGGCCCGTTCCTACTCCTGGTGTCCGTCTTTACCTGCTTTAAAAAAAATATCCATGCCATATTGCTCAAGACGCTAACATGACTATAAATCGATCAATAAATAAATGCCTACTAATACGATATCATTACTCACGAATGGAAATCTCTATGGTGAAATCTATACTATTTGCAAATCTGCATTTGCAAAAATGTTTATTGAGCTGTCATTTTCAAAGATTTCTGTTGGATGTTTCCCATTCTCAAGAACTTTTGGTAGATTTGTTATTTGGTTTCTGATTTTCAAACATTTCTGTCGAATGTTTTCTAATTCACGCGAAGCATTTATTAGCGTGGTTTCTCTTTCTCAAAGAAGTCTGTTGAGTTTGGTGGCATTCTTGAGAATCTGTTATTAGTTTATAATTTTTTTCATTCTGAGGAATCTCTGTTGAATCTGTCGTAGTTCACCATTCTCAAAAAATAAAAATCTTTGTTGAATCTGGCTAGTTTGTTTTTTATTTGCAAAAATATCTTTTGAGCTGTTCTTCATTTTTACAGATTTCGGTTGAATGTTTCTCATTCTCAAGAATCTTTGTTAGATTTGTTGTTTGGTTTCTGATTCTTAAATATTTCGGTTGAATATTTTCTCATTCTCAAGAATCTCTGTCGAATTTTTTGGTGTGGTTTCTCATTTTGAAAGATGTCTGTTTTGATCGACATTTTTTAGAATCTGTTATTAGTTTTTCATTTTTTCATTCTGAAGAATCTATCGTAGTTCCCCATTCCCAAAAAATTAAAATCTCTGTTGAATCTGGCTAGTTTGTTTCAAACTTGCAATAATATCTTTTGAGATATTTTTCATTTTTAAAGATCTCTGTTGGATTTTTCTCATTCTGAAAAATCTTTGGTAGATTTGGTTTCTGATTTTCAAATATTTCGGTTGAATGTTTCCTCATTCTTAAGAATTTCTAGCGAATTTATTGCGTGGTTTCTTATTCTCAAAGATTTTTCTGTTGAATTTGAGAATCTCTCATTAGTTTTTCATTCTGAAGAATTTCTGTTAAATCTGTCATAGTTTCCCAATCTCAAAGAATCAGAATCCCTGTTGAATTTGGCTGGTTTGTTTTTCATTGGCAAAAATATTTGTTGAGCTGTTTTTCTCGAAGATCTCTGTTGTTTGGTTTCTCACTTTCAACAATTTCTGGTGAATTTCTTGTGTGGCTTCTCATCCTCAAACATGTCTGTTGAGTTGGTTGTCATTCTCGAGAATCTGTCTTGTAGATTTTCATTCTAAAGAATCATCAGCATTAGATCTGTTAGCTGTTTCCCATTCGCATAAGTATGGCACTCTTTTCTATTTATCGTTTGCTTGCGCTTACTACTTCAAGGCCCAGTTTATTCATCTTATAATAAATTGTTAGAAAATACAATCTCAGGGATAAAAATTGGGCCAAAATAATCAATTCAAGTCAAAAAAGGTTTGAAGAGAACCCAACTAAAAAACAACACAAACCTACTTAATACAAAAATCAAGAATAAGATCTAATTATAGTTTTTTTTTTTTTTGGAGGAAATTATTTTAGGTTTTCAACTAAAAATTGTAGCCATTTTTTTCTAACTTGCCATTGCAATATTTTATGCTCGATTTTATGGGACTTTTATTATGTCATCAATGACCATAAAAACAATACATTTTCGTTGAAAACCCCAGTCTTTAATTTGTTCCACCCCAACTGCGAATTTGACCACACTATAGATACAGACTTTTTACATCTTTGCAAAGGTTGTGGTATTGTATTTAGGGTATTTCTCTTGAGAGAGAAAGTTCCAGAAACGCTGTTTCGATTGTTTTTTTTATCAATCGCGTATATTGATGAAAGATGAAAAACAAAAAGCTGGTGATCGGGTTAATCGGATCAGCGTTTCCAAAAATACGCAATGTAGGATCTAACAAAATGGCGTAAGTCTAATATTTGGATATACGCCTTTCAGTCAGATCCTATATGCAATTGCTGTATACTTACGCCTTTAGCTGATTTTATGTATACAGAAAAGTAATACCTTTGAGCATACGCCCTCTTGTCAGATCATACATACAACTCTAAGAAATCACTGGGCGACCTTAACTCCAATATGGAATAATTGACCGTTACGCCAGTCTGAGGTTACGCCCCTTTGTCAGATCAGCGACATAACTGGCATCTTTTTCATAATGAGGGCTTTAAGCGTACTCAAATTCGTTGGCATATGTTTCATTAGAGTTATGGTTAGGGTAAACATTGGGGTTTCTTTGAGGGGTAGCTGAAGTGTATCTTGGTACGAATTGTTTCGAAGCAGATGCATTTTGGGTTCTATTTTGCGGAACATTGGTTGTTGGTTGTTGTGCCTGAGTAGTTAGCTGTTGTCATGTTTTAGAAACTTTGATTTGGGTATTGAGTGAAGTTTGAATGACTGGAAGCTTGTTGTCTACATTGATTGGCTAATTTTTCCGCAAGAAAAGCATTTGATGGATGATTGTGGTTTGTTGACCAAAACTTTTTGAACAGCAGGTTTTGGAGTCTTCTGATTCTCAAAATAGGAAAGTTGGATTTCTCTCCTGATTCTACATTGAGCATCTAAAAGAGTGTGTGGGCTTCCAGCTCTGATAATCTGGCCAAGGCGAGGTTCTAGGCCTGTAAGAAGAGTGTATAGGGCCATAGATTCCACAAGGGAAGACTTTGCTTCTTTTTGATCTTGTGTTTTAAGGTGTGGTGACTTTTGGATAGAAGAATGCATTTTTGCATTCAGTACTTGGAGTCTGTTGTAGAAAGTAAGTGGGGACTCGCCAGGTAGTTATTTGAGTCGTTGGAGGTCATGGATAAGAGCTGAGAGGTTTCTAGAATCTCCAAAGTGTAAATTCAGAAGTTGTTTGATTTCTAAATAGGAATTGGGGTTTCGAGAACTTATCAGTTGACCTGCTCTACCTCTGAGCTTATTTTTAATATGAATAATAAGTAAAATTTTTTGCTGCGTGGTTGCCATATTGTAGGCACAATCGCATGCACTAATAAAGTTTCCTAAGAGGATTTGATCTCCTTCAAATTCAGGAATTATTGAAAATATTTCAGAAAGCTTGTATGGCTCAATTTCCACAGTGGTTTCATTGGTTTCATTAGGCATTTTGTTGATTTAAATGAAAATATTCAAAAACAACAACAACAACAAAATATTTCGAAAGTAAATGGTTGACAAACTTTTCAAAATATGGTAAATTGAAACAATTTATAAAAATTGGTTCTCAAATTTTCAAAATATGGTAAAATAAAACTTCGAAAAATTAAACCTATTGTGGGTTATTTCCGCAACAATATCCTTCTGAACTATTATAACCATATAATACCTTGGTAACGATAATCATAAACAGGGTTTTAACTCCGGCGCGGAAGTTAAGGATTTCCATATCTACCGCTTTTACCTTGAATAGGTAACACTTTGAGAAATAGTAAATTATACACCTAGGGACTAAAGTGGTACTTTTAAGGGAATCAAAAACACTTTAGTCCTGAGTTGTATACACTATTTTATGCACTTCACTTTATTTCCCGGAAATTAAATAAAACAGGGAATATAAAGGTACTTTTAATCCCCGGGAAATAAAGCAAAAATCTAATCTCCGGGAAATAAAGTGAAATTTAATCCCGGGGATTAAAAGACCCGCTTTACTCCCTTAAAACAGCGATCAAAATGGTACTTTTAACCCCTGAAGTGCATAAAAATATAAACTTTGGTTTATGGTGTATTCCTTTATAAAAATGAAAAAAATACAGTAAATTAAGTAGGAGTAGGATATAAAATTATCTATGTACCAGGTGTTAATACCCACGGGCACAAACTTTGCCCTGGGGTAATAATACCCTCATAATTCCCTTGATACATAAATAACTATTGTTTACCAGCTGATTTTCGTCAGTGATTATTTACACTTTCAATTTTCCGTTTGCTGTAAATGTAATATCTGAGGGCAGATTTGATTACATTTATTGATCTGATATGAGGCGTTTCATTGTACCCTTTTAGGCAATTTTAGTTTGGCCAGGTACCTACAGTACCGTTTAGCTGTTGACTTTTCCTGTTTTTTTTTTTGAAATATCGGAGCTCCGTTTAACTGAAGAGCATTTAAACAGGTGACGCTTTTTTATCAATTACCTACACCACTCTCACTCTAAGAGTTAGTCGGCAGCTTTCAGAAACGGAATTTCCTTTCTCGTCTTGTAGTACTGTGGCCACCTTGCTAGTTTGTCACCTTTCTAGATTTTCATTTTCGCTTCATTTTTTTTACATAACAAATTTCTAGATTTGCATTCTTTTTTTTTATTACATAACAAAATTGGCGTCCAACGTGGGGCGCCAGTTTGTGTAAAGTGTAAGAAATATTGCGTAGGAGAGTGATAAGATCACAAAATCACTAATCATTAGTAATAGGAATAGAAGAATCCCCTCACTTCAAGGAAGTAATATTATTTATTAATGAAAATACCCTTTGATAGCAAACTTAATTCCCAAACTGTTTCCTCAAGTTATTACAATTAAAAAAAAATCCAATAGAAGACAACCCTCCGGTTCTAAATTAATAGATCATTTAAGCCCCAAATAATTAATTAAACTTACCTTACACCAGGGAAACCGATTGGGGATGGAGAAACGACACCCCGAAAGTTTTAACGGCATTAAAACTTTTGAACGCTTACGAAGACGTTCTGGACGGGTTGTTGCCAAGTGCCTTTGAAATGCAACTTTCGAGTAAACAAATGGAAATTGAAGTTGTTATTATGCTGTGGAGGTAATCCAAGAAAAATAATTCGAAAAACAACAATAATAAACTAATAAATATTCATCTAGACATCACGAACTTCCTATAACGCCCTCGCAACTAGCTCAATATTGCTTGGCATTGAGCGCTCTATGTTACGATCCTAGGCAGTTCCATGGGCACGATTTGATTGGTACTTTGCAGCATCACGAAGCACCTCATGATTTAGGTAAGAATTTACAATAACTTATCCTAATAATTACACGTTGGCTATAATAAACTCTACAAAGTTCTCTGGAAATTAAGGCAAGATGTTAAAGTTTATGGCTTGTCGAAATTGCCTTTAGAGCCCTCTTTCTTATAACATCTTGGTTATCCAAAGGGACTAAACTAATAGTAAACTTCTCTGAAGTTATATAAAGCTATAGCTTTGGGAACTTTCACAAAATTACTGCAAGGAACTTTGCAACAAAAAAGTCGTAGGTGCAAAAAGGTCTAGGAAACTATTCGGAAATTATCTGAAAGTTAGCAAAAATTAATTTGCCATAGAAAAATCCATCTGCACAATTATGTAAGTGTAATTTTTAGTATTGTTTGTCATCTAGATCAAAAGTTGTCTAAATTTTTTTTATCTATAAATCTATATATTCAATGTCTTGTCTGATTTAAGTCTAGAGGATTTAATTCAACTTAAAATTAAACCTCTTTTCTTTTATTAACTTCCATCCCAGATAAAAATAAAGGTACCTATATTAAATTCAAATAGAGTTTAGGTAATATACTTTCAAACAATTCTATATGCAATTTTTTTTTTTTTTCATTCCTTTTCTCCACATAGAGTCTAGGAGACTTGATAGCTATCGCCAATAAATATACATATTTAATTTTTACATTAAGATGTTAATCCAAGGCCATTTTCTCTTTTCGAAACTTGAAAGAACCCTGACACATTTGTATTCTGGATATTAATCGTTTCCACAATTTATACATCGATTGAACATAAATACTAAAATAACTCAATTTAACACATTTTAAATTCAATTTTCAATGCAATGAAAATTCAATTTTTAATGCAACGAAAATTCAAATATGAAATATAGTGCCAGATTTATTATTAAACTTGATAGAAACGACAAAATCCCCTGGCGTTCAATTTAATGAATTTTTAAATTGGTCTCGTCATATTATCTTTCGATCATTAATTATCAAGTATGCAATGGACAAGCTAGTTAGTAGGTATATAAAAAAGTAAAGACCATTTTGACTCTATGTAAAAACACAAGCCCAGTTTAATGCAAATTGCTATATATGTATTGCAAATTAGTGGTGCATCTTTTCTCCCAGGAAATGGCACTTCACTCCACTGGCATATACATAATATCACTTTTTTTCTACGACCATTTATTGTGTAAATTAGATATTATTATAATTACCTAATGTGAATAATTATTCCAGATTTCGCCTATTCAACTCTAGCCGCTTGTACAGCAAGAGCTCACGTCCGGAAGAAGCAAATCCGAAGACTTCTAGACATCGCCAACACGGCCAAGGACCATAATATTGGTAAGACGTGTCGGAAGGGCTAAAATTTTATTCATCCCTCACCCTTACTCTGAAAACCTCCATTCGATCATCAAACCATCTATCATCCCCGTTTCCCCAATATGTTTTCCACAAATATTGTTGTTTCACGACTTTCAGATACAGTTGCCATGACAATTTTGGCCTTAAGGTGTGTAGTCATGGACCATCGTCACAGGAACCTTCAGCACTCTTTGAGAAGACCCAGCATTAGCTTGGCTCGGCAACAACAACCTGACGGTGGGTTCGGAAATTTGTATAATACGGCTCTAGTGTTGCAAGTAAGGACTTTATTCTTAATATAAATTAATTTTTTTAATTACTAAATTGGAGTCTATATAATTTGGTAAATTTTCATAGGCTCTGGATGACTTAAACGAACTAAAATCCTACTGGAACAAAACAGCAGCCAGAGCCTATTTGGAATCCCGACAAGATCCAGATGGAGCTTACACTGATGCAGGACTTACTTCAGATGTGCTTTTGGCCATTGTTGATAAAGGTTTGGGTATGGTTAGGCTGATGGAATGTGGTAGGCATGAGAATGATTATGAAAATAATGGTAAGGAATTTATCAAGAAGTAATATTAGAAAATCATTCCGAGTGAAAATAAGATATGAAATTTAGAAGTCATTTCATTTTGGGTATTTTTCAAGAAATTTAAGAATACTGTAATGATATTGAGTTAACTTTCGTTTTACCTGTTGAGAGTTATCATTGATTATCAATAAATGGATTGAAAAATAAGTATTATCTCAAATCATTATTGTTCGTCGATTTTTAACTGATACTTGCGGTATGAGGAGCGAGGGGGTGTTTCATATGGCAAAAACAGGTGTGACGTCAGGTAACCATTGGCGTTCTAATGTAGGGAGCCACCAGCTCACATTCCGTCCGAGTATCAGATTAAAATCGACGAACAATACATGGTGCATTCGGTATATGAACATTATACCGATAACAATTACTTACTTAAAAATGCACTGACATTTTGAGGAAATTGAAAAGTAGACAAAATGCGGAGGCTTTAGAAGAAGAAAAAGAGGAACTTCCCTTGACGTACCTCCTACAGTAGAAGAAGTGAAAAAACTTTGCAAATCAGAAGAAGAAGCACAAATTGAAGAAAATCGTAATATCAAAAAACGTCGACTGTCCCATCACTGCCCAACCTAGAATGTGGTCCATGCAATAATAGATGGCATAGAAACATCGTAGGATGTTACGTACCAACCCACGTATTCGAAATACAAATGTTGAAGCTCATGAAGGAAGGTTAAAAGTTATAAAATTTGCTGAACAAAATACCATGTCCGATTATTAGAAATTAGCGACTTGGAAAAATCCATGAACATATAATATAAAAGATAAATGCAAGTCAAACTTTCTTCAATAAATCAACTAATGCAAAATGAAATAAGTTATATGTAAGAATCAACAGCTCAAGCCAAGCTGACAAAAGTATTAGAGTATCAGGAAACATTTCAAATACAAAGTCCCTTGCTTTTTATATTTGTTGTGGTGTCAAAAAAAATTGTATTACAGTCAGTTTTAAATTAGTAGGTAGTCCGTATGCAACTTTGTGAAGCAATATAGTGATATACATCAAAATTTTCGGAAAAATGTGTAGACTACGAATATAATTGGGGCGTGACCTGTAGAGGTGGCAGAAGGGAAAAAAATTACCCCTAAACCACCCCTACCTAAAAAAATATTTTAGCCATAAAAAGATAGTAGAAAAAGTTTTTGAAGTGAAAACTTCTTTAGAATCGTTGGGAGTGATTTGAGACGATGAAACGAAAAAGCAACATTTTTATATCACGCTTATAATAACACACACAAGAACCTGGAACAAGCCAAGTGAGCTGGAACAAGTCTGGAAAATGTCTGGATAAATCTGGATGAAGTCTGGAAATCTCTGGAAACGTCTGGAAAAGACTTGGAAATTTCTGGAAAGGCTTGGAAAGATTCTGAAAAAGGTCCCAAAAGACCTGGGGATCATTTTCCAGAATCCGGATCAGTCTGAACAAGTCTGGATAAAGTCTGGATTAATCTGGATGAAGTCTGGAAAACTCTGGAAACCTCTGGATAAGTCTGGATAATGTCTGGAAATCTCTGGAAACGTCTAGAAAGAGCCTGGAAATTTCTGGAAAGGGTCGGAAAAATTCTGCCAAAGGTCCCAAAAGACCTGGGGATCATTTTCCAGAATCCGGATCAGTCTGTACAAGTCTGGATAAGGTCTGGATAAATCTGGATAAAGTCTGTAAAACTCTGGAAAACTCTGGATAAGTCTGGATATTGCCTGGAAAAGTCTGGGAAAGACTTGGAAATTTCTCGAAAGGGTTGGAAAAATTCTGAAAAAGGTCCCAAAAGACCTGGGGATCATTTTCCAGAATCCGGATCAGTCTGAACAAGTCTGGATAAAGTCTGGATTAATTTGGATGATGTCTGGAAATCTCTGGATAATGTTTGGAAATCTCTGGAAATGTCTGGAAAAGGCCTGGAAATTTCTTGAAAGGGTCGGAAAAATTCTGGAAAAGGTCCCAAAAGACCTGGGGATCATTTTCCAGAATCCGAATCAGTCTGTACAGGGTGGACCAAATTGGACACTTTCTTATGGAAACACCCTTTATTTTTAGAGATAGAAAAAAATGGACCCCATACTCTGAGGCTCAAATTTCATGAAATCTTGATTGGTGCAAACCGCATTTTGATATCTTCAACCGTTTAGGCGCTAGAGGGCGATTCTCGACTTTGAGCAATACTGTAAAGCCTCCATAACTTTTTTGTTTATGGAAATAATTTATTTCCGTAAAGACCTTTTGGAAGCACTTTTTCAAGCAGAATTCAGTGACGTTCTCAGTTTTTTTCTGTCTGGCTTCGATTTCGAGATATTGACCAAAATCCGATTTATTTCAATAGGACACCCTAAATATTAATAGTTGATTAGAAAGCTATGCTTTCGCTGATTTCAATGATATAAAGTTCGATAGGTTTATCTCTAACAGTTTTCGAGAAAAAAAATTATTTCGGTTTTTGTCATAAGAAACAATGTGTTGGAAAAGGACTTTATCTCTGTAAGGAAACTGAGAAAGGTCTCTTTCTAACACATTGGGTGGTATGAATAAAAATGAGCATTTAGTTTCTACTCCAAATTTTGGAGTAAATACTCCACGTGGTATGAATAAAAACTACGAGCAGATATTTCGCTTGAGTAGGTACTCCTATGTATAATTTGGTATGAGTAGATTCTCACTTTTGGTATGAATAAAAAATTGTTTATGCTCTTCGGCAGGAGAATTTACTCCATAGTTTTAGAGTCTGCTATGCAGTAGACTCAACTTTCTGCTTCAAGTTACTTCAGTGCCGATTTTCCCTCGGTAGAAGGCAGAGCTATGGCAGAGTTCTTCAATCTTAACCTGCGTTCGGAAAAATTTTACAAAGCTAGAAAAAATACGTGTGATCGGGACTTTAAAACGTTGTACCGGTTTAGTAGAGAAAATGTGGAGTGATTATCAAATCAATTTTTGGGGAAAGAAGAGGTGGTGCTTTATGCAACAAAGACAAATTTAAAATATTTTTAAGATACCTGGGTGACCTGGGGTTTCAGGCAGGAGTAGGCGAGGATGTTGGTGTTCATCAAACTTCGGTGTCTAAAGTTGTATCGGAAGTAGCTGATAAGATAATTCAGGAAAGTGAATGATGGATCAAATTTCCCCGCAGTCCTGCGGATATAATATTATCCATTCACAATCCGATGTCCACAGGTACAGGTAAAATTTATGACCTTTCAATGCTATTTGATAGAGAAAGGTGATAAATAAATTTACCCGTACCTATGGACATCGGATTGTGAATAGGATATAGAGGCGAAAGAGCGGTGGCAAGCAAAATAAAATGTTGAGTATCTACTCTATATACTAGGAGTATGTACTTATCAAACCGAAATCTTTTTTATTCTTACGAAATAGAGTATAAGCTCAGACTTCATACTCATGCTCACGAGTATATACTCCGAGTTTATACTCAGTTTTTATTCATACCACCCATTGTTTCTTATGACAAAAACTGAAATATTTTTTTTCCGAAAACCGTTAGAGATACACCTATCGAATCCTATATCATTGAAAGCAGCAAAAGCAGAGCTTTTCAATGAGCTATTACTATATAGGGTGTCCTATTGAAAAAAATCGGATTTTGGTCAATATCTCGAAATCGGAGCCAAACAGAAAAAAACTGAGAACGTCACTGAATTCTGCTTGAAAAAGTGCTTCCAAAATGTCTTTACGGAAATGAATTATTTTCATAAACAAAAAAGTTATGGAGGCTTTACAGTATGGCTCAAAATCGAGAATCGCCCTCTAGCGGCTAAACGGATGAAGATATCAAAATGCGGTTTGCACCAATCAAGATTTCATGAAATTTGAGCCTCAGAGTGGGGGGTCCATTTTTTTCTATCTCTAAATATAAAGGGTGTTTCCATAAGAAAGTGTCCAATTTGGACCACCCTGTACAAGTCTGGATAAATCTGGATGAAATCTGGAAAACTCTGTAAAGCTCTGAATAATGTCTGGAAATCTCTGGGGCTGACCTGACACGCTTTTATAATACATCGAACTAAAAAGTGAAAAATAATTTTTAATATAAACAGAAAATATTAATGAACAAAAAATATTAGAATTACCTATTGTCAAAAAAGCGTGGGGTGCTCAATGTATGAGAAATGTGAAACAAAGCACCCCAGCGTGTATTTTAGTTTTTTTAAACTATATATTTATTTGCGTTCTTTCTCAAGTCTTTTGGAGGGGGGGGGGACGCCACTGTGTATGTTGGTATGTGTGTAATGCATGCAGTTCGTTCATAGTTATATGTAAATTGTTGGAAAGAAAAACATATGATTTTATGTGTTATAGCTAAGCTCAGAAAATATTAAATAACTGTATTTTGGTATTTGAATTATAGGTATATATAAAGTGAAAAACATAAAATTATTCGTCATCGAATTCGCTATCCAGAGCATAGTCAGAATCAGTGTCATAGGTTGATTTTTCATCTACTTTAGTATTCGAACAACATTCTGGATCAGCTTCACATTCACAATTTCCATGTAAAGTATATTTTGTGCTGAACATTTGCATCCTTGAGAACAATTGTTTTTTTCTACAAGAACTCTTTTTTAAATTAATTATTTCTTCAGATGTGCAGGGAAGTAGACTATACACATAATTGACGTGTCTCGCAGAAATATAAAAAAAAAGGAGCTTAATTGTAATAAATACAAGTTAGAAAGTAATAAAAAATGACATGCGCGCGCAACTCGTGGCTGCAGTGTAGCCAGATTGTATTGTTGCAGAACAAATGTAGACAATACTAATCGACATTATAACATTAAAGAAGTGATATATTGTCAAGTGTTTTACAACGCCTTAAATCAGATAAAAGAAGAGCTTTAAAGTGTATGTTAACATCGATGGCACTTTTATTTTGATAAATGTTCAATCCGGCAACATCGCACAATGAAAATACGTCAAGTATAATCTAACATAACCTTGAACGACACTGGG